GTCTGTAGACCTCGCTCATAAAGAACGGTCTCAAAAGAAGCAGCTAATTTGAGATTTGAGGATTACTAAAAAAGGATTTATATGTCGACGATTCTAATCGATCTAAAAATTTTTTAACAGATTACGCCCATTTGTTTTCAAAGCTTGTTTTCAGATGACGTTTCAACTTTATAAAGACCTGCTCTAGAACAAGGAAGCGTTGCCTTCAAACAAGCTTCAAAATATTCTGGAAATACCTCTCCAGTCTTTTGGTGAAACGCCTGTATTTGGTATTACAACAGACTCTTAAAAAGTCAAGTCATCGTTAATAAAAAAACAAACAAATTACATTATTTGTTTTGTCCACGCGGGCCTGAGCGTGGGCTAGTATTTAGGGTATCGAACTGGGGTAATCGAAGTTTTGTGGTTCTCGCTTCATCATCCCCCCCCACCCACACACACACAAATCGCGCTCCGCCCATGAGTCTCCGTCCTACCAATCATGCTCGCCCTTTCAGCCGTGGGGGCGTTATAATGTGACGGTCAATCCCACTATTCGTTGGTAAAAGAGTAGCCCAAGAGTTGGCGGTGGGTGGTGTCGACTAGCTGCTTTCCCTCTAGTCTATCACTTTAACGTTAAGGACGTCTAGTGTAAGATAGCACTCGAGTAACTTTGCGCGAACTTGTTCACGTGCCTTTATGCATTTAAAACGTTAAGCCAGTTTATCATTCAACATTAATCTTTCTTGACAAACGACGTTAAAGAATTAGTCCCGTTTATCACAATATTCATCTTGCATTATGCGTAGCACTGTGCCAATAATTATTTTATGTAACTGTTCACGTCAAGAAACAAAAAAAAGTCTGTAAGTCATCTCTTACAATAGCCAGCGTAGATTGTTTATAGGTTTTGTAATCTGGACATGAGACTTAATAAACCGTGAGACCACAGAAAACAGTAATCATGGTTTCTCATACCCCATTCTTTTTTCCTTTTTTTAAAGAACGAATTGAAAATCAAGGATATAAAACCAGAGTAAATCAGTGGAAAAGATTCCTAGTGCTTAGCCTTTTCTTCCAAACATGTATTTGCCGTTATTGAATGTGTAATTACTTCTATTTTACGGCCACATGGCAGCCACAGCAGTTGTTTTCAACTATCCAAACTTGTATTTGCCGTTATTGAATGTGTAATTACTTCTATTTTACGGCCACATGGCAGCCACAGCAGTTGTTTTCAACTATCCAAACTTGTATTTTAAAACGCATTTTACAACGTATTCACCTGTAATCGGCTTTCATTAAAGAAAAGTCTCCAAGCTAGACAGTTAAAAGTTCGGAAAGGAGAGTCCTTGAGAACAACTCCTGTCGTTCAGTAGAGTGATTAGAGAAATGCACGAGCGGTTACAATTGTCATAATCTCTCCCCCCTCACTTTTTTTTTTTTTTTGCCCTCGTGAGACTACTAAAATTCCCAAGGTTTTCAAACCTAAACAAAAATCAATTGGAGGTTTTATGCTTCGGTATCATTTGAGGAAATAATGTTCAAGAGGTTTACACAACTCCGGGCTTCCCACGTGAGGCCTAGCAATGATGAATCAGGTTCTAACGCTACTGACTGCTCCAGAATATCTTGAAGGAATATAAGTCGGATTACACGATTACTGAACTTTCGTTGCCACCTGCGGTTGGTCAATGACGCATTTCGAAATGGAATTTCTAATTATTTTGGTAAACGTGTACGCTAGTGTGTACACGAGGATATACACGCGCGCGCGCGCGTGTGATTTAGCCTGATTAAAAACTGAAATTGATCAACTTGGTAAAAGATGGAAATAAAATATTTTTACATCACTCTGATTGAATACTTTATTTTTGTTTACAAACGTTTTAGCATGTTTGTTTGTTTGGAATTTCGAGCAAAGCTACACGAGGGCTATTGCGCTAGCC